TTGATTTTTTTCGTCTTGTACCATTACACATATAGATTTTTTGCTGTGATTCTTGTACATGAATGCCGGGTGTTTGAATAGAATTTGGGGGCTTGGAATAGGAAGTGCGTTGAATGGGATAATCCAACAATGCCAATTAGTGGCGCGGTAGGCAACCCGCGCTGCTCGTGCCGATTTGTTCGCGTTTTGTTGATAATATCGGATAGGATTTTTTTTTCTCTCTCGTTGTACACGTTTTAATTGGAATGTCGGGATAGGCCGTGCAGAGTGTTTTCTGTGGCGCAGTCGATTGCATGTTCCAGCCTCACTAGTTGCGCTTGGTTGACGATCCAAGCACATACACACACACACACACCGAAAAACCCTCCTTACACAGCTTAAAAGGTGGAACATGGAAAAAAGAAGCGAAACAACCCTCTATTATAATCATCCTTCCGTATTGGAATCGCGAACAAACCATATGAGATAGGTAGAAAGAGCTAGCCTCTTGTGCAATGCGCTAAAATAAAGTAAATCTTTCCTTGAAGCTATTTTTAAAAACGAAATCTCTGTTTATGCTTGTACACCGTGTATGTGTGTATATGTATAAGTGTGTGTGTATATATACATGTATGTATGAGAGTGCGTTTGTGTGGAGTGAGCGAGTCTTCAAGTTCCGTGAAGTGGGACGAGGTCGTTGAATAACAATATCGTAATATCCTAAACGGGTACAACCGGCAACGTTGCTTACCTGTTTACCTGTATATATCATTTATGTATATCTTTCTACACTTAGTGTATATATATACATATACCTATATAAATTATAAATGGAAGCAACGCGTTTCCACTCTTCTTTTTCTTCTGCGGGGAAGAAGAAAAGCAATTGGATGGCTGTGTGGAAGCTAAGCGCGCGCTCTTGAAGTGAATCCATTTTCCATCTCTCGGCATTGCACCACCACCTCGAATCAATTTGCGAATAACTAGGTCGAAAAGAACATTGTGCAATGCACACTTGTATATTTTAATACATTCTGCTCTCGAAACTCCTACGAAAAAAAAAACGAATACAGGCAAGAGAGGTGGAAAGATGTGCGCTTGGAATTGGGCTGGCAGAAGATCTGCAGGATTGATGAAATTTTCTTTTTTGGAAACCAAAACTACTCTCGGGAATGATCTTGATAGGTAGATGACACGTTCCGCTAATGATATAGAAAAACCGTCACTTATACAACGACATTTATGCAACAGATTACGCGTGACACGAAATGTCAATATCATTAAGGATTTCTTAATTCAATTAGCAGACTTTATTATTTTTGATATAACTCTATGGATCTTTGTCGTTAAATCAATGCGAAGGATAATTTCCGATCAATTAAAAATAACTTTTTAATTGTTCATAAGGCGATGAATCATGTTGTAGAAACAACTTTTTTTTTTCTTTGTCGAATTCTTGTGAAACTATGTTCAATGGTATTAAGCAATTGACGTTTGAATATGTGTTGTATTTAGTGGAAAGAAGTCGAAAAGTGTGTTAAGATTCTAATCTGCTTTTTTTCTTGAGCGATCTTCTTTGTAATAAGGCAGCAGTGTGATTGATGTCTATTTGTAGGTTAAATCGAAACTGACGTAATGATATAATAGGTATTATGGCAAAAGAAACCGAAAGTGTGTTGAAGAGCGCGCGGCGGCGGCGAGCAGAGCAATAAATTCGCGCGTGTCGACACTGAAAGCGCTCAGGAAAAAGGTGGAGCGGGCATCTTCCATCCTCCTTTCTCTGAGCCGGCAGAGTGCGTGAGTGCAAGTAGGACGGCACTTGTTCCATGGATGTTGCAAGGTAGATGCGGCGACGATCTTGGGCATGTAGGTTGCCAGGTCGGTGCCGTAACGAACTGAAAACAACCTGCCCGACTACTACCAACGGAGATAGAGTAATCGTTTATTTGGGTTCTACATTACTTAATCGAACTTAGGTGTTGAATTTCTGGAAAATGTTCTCATTGAAATGCGGTTACCAGATACCTCATTTTTTTTATTCGGTTCTTTACTTTTTCACTAGTTGTCTTGAGTAGATAGCCTACTTATCCATTGCACCGTGAGCTGGTTATCTCTTGCACAAACCGCGTATTCAATTACGATTCTCAATCTCCTCGATATAGGAGAGCCTTCGAGAAGTGGGAGTTGATGGTGGTGGTCCATCGGTGAGACGGGTCAAAGCCAACTTCGTGGAATGAGGAAGACGACGTGAATCAGCTGATTCGTTTCAGATTGGTTCTGTGTCTCGGATCTTTTGTGAACCGACCGAGATGCGATTGTCCTTGGGAGAGAACCGAGTGTGGGTAATTAGCGCAACGCATACTACACACAGAACTGGCTCTGGCATTCATTGTTTTCTTCTCCGTTACGCAATGTTCATCCTGTTTTTTTTCTTGACTCTTCGTATATTGTTGATTAGAAACAGACACGAAATTAGGGCCTGTCCGTTCGTTTCCTGTCCCATCCTTTGAAAGCTACGGGGAGACCAAAAAAAGTTCACGTCTTGTACGTGGAAAACCTGTTCACGTAATAATGATGATGACCAGTCATCATCGTCTAAGAAGAAGGTGGCCGAGAAAAAGGAGGCAGGCAGGCAGGCAATTCCATTACGACTTTCTTCGACCTTGAAAGTGAGTGTCGGCCTGCATCGCGTGCACCGTCTGATCCACGGTTGCGTAACCCGCTTGCATTCAATCGAAGAGAGGAGAGCTAATAATAGAGAGAGAGTTGTAAAGAGTTGTAATGAGTCGAGTGTTGTTATATAGTGTGCATGATGGATGCGTGCGCGACGCAGTTGGACTTGATCCAGATATCTGCTCTCTCTCGCTCAGTGGGTCTGCATGCTACTAGAGCCTGTTTCGCTTTGTGCTATGGCTAGCTGCCTGCTTAGCTCTCAAGGGCGTTTGTAAAAATCGCCTTGGGATCGAACAACAAAAACAAACCAAACGAAAAATAGTAGTAATAGTACTCATACATCACTGCCAAACGTTTCATACACTCTATTTCCTAATACCGAAATTGAATAACGTCACCTCCGATTGGAATTTCATCGCAACTCCAATTGATTCACAGCAAAAATAATACAAAAGCAAATAATATTATCAATTCCATTTTAATCAAGCATTAAGGTGCAATAAATAAGGACCTTCCTGCAATTTTATCATAGTAACAACGTTCAATATTATTTCTCCTCCGCATATCAAAGCTAGCGGAGGAATATTATCATGGTTTTACCACCTGATAATCAGACCCTATGTATAGATCTTATTTACAACGATTATCCTGTTTAATCCACTTGCTGGTGTTCTTATAATACGAGTTTATACTTTTTGTTTTATAACAGAGATCTTGGGCGCATCCCTTTGCTAGGAATTAATCTTTTCACGGTGCCGGTGTACCGTTATTAACATTTTCCTGCTTGATGTATTTACATTCAGCCTTCGAGGGTGTTATAACTGGTTGGAAGAGGCTGAGTGTGCGTGTGTTTGCCCAAAGAATTCCAGTTTGGAAAGCCCATAGCGGAGTACCGTTACGCCTATAAAACCCTTCATCTCTACAGCAGCCGCAATTAGGAATTCTCAAAGCTCCGAAAAGCTTGTGACTAAAGAATAAGAGAGAGAGAGAGAGGAGCGAAGGGGAACAGCTGGAATTCTTCTACTTCCCCATCGTAAATATGAAATTATTATTCACGCGGATATTCGAACACACAACTAAACAGATAGAATTTGTTATTGACGTGAATATTTCGGTTCTGCATGAATTATTCATTGCAGTTCGTCCTTGGTCGTTTCATATAATATATATTTTTTTGGATTGTAATTGTTACCAATTCCGCTTCCATAATTACTATACTCCATAGTTTTTTTTTTGTTTTGTTGCTACATAAATGGAGTTAACAATCCATTGAAATATTTCAAAATGATTGAATGGTTAACGCAACAAAATGTTGAAAAATATTAAAAAAAAAATAGCAATATTATTATTGATAAATACTCAGGCAATATCCTGCATTTTTAAACTTATTTAATTGATAAATTTTATTTATTCTTTCATTCAACCGGAAATAACTGCGCTCCATTTAGTGGCAGAAATATGCGCGGGGATTGTTTCTCCTTTGTAGTTGGGATTTCCAGGTTGGGATCGATTTAGGAATTTCTATTTTATAAATAGAACGTTTATGGTTGGAAGCAGTAGCTTGTATATTCCAATCAATAGCGGAATAAAAAAGAATATGCATAGGAAATCCATATGTTTTATTTTTTTCAAAAGTCTCTTCAAAAACGAAAATGTATTTCTTATATAATTTTATCAAAGCTTTTAAATTGATTTATATCGATTAATATTGTAGATGTTTTGGATTAGAATCTAAGATGTTACTTTTGAAATCTGTTTCAATAAGATATTCTGTTATATAAGTATTTATATAATAACTCGTGTTTTTAATGGCGCGTCTATGTTGCGTAAACCATTATGTGCGAAGCATTGAAAAAAATAGGAAGAAATGAAAATGTATTAAAACAGAATATAATAAATAAAAGGACCGGTATTAAATATTTGCAATATATGTTTGCTACTGTTTACGTAACATTCTGAAATATCCAGGATAATGTTAAATCAATTGGATAAAAGTGAGGATGGGAAAAGCGTACCTTGACGAGATTAAAGTTTTTTCGTCTTACGTAATATTTTCTTCATTTTTCCTTGCCTTCTGTTAAAATGATGGCAATTGGTGGTAATTGCGTTGGAGTTGTTGCGTGTACAGCGTTATAGAATGAAATTAAGGAAATGATAATAAAAAATCCGAAACTCTGTTTGAGCAGTTTTGGTGTATGTATGTATGTGTATAAAAAAAAGTGAAATCGTCGGGCATGTTTCGAAACAGTCTTTTGCTATATTTGAATGTTTGAACTTTCGTTTCGGATGTCTCGCAATGTTTATTGTATGATTTATTTATGCGTGTTCTCTTTATCTGTGTGTTTTAGCCGTGAGGGCGGATAGGATGAGAGGTGGAAGGAATAAATTCGGACCAATGTACAAGAGGGACAGGGCGAGGAAACTGCAGATGATGAGGCAGAGACAGCTAGCTGCACAGACACTCAGAGGCGGCATTGGTGATATGTATCAGTCGAGTCAGTCGAGCTCGTCGCCGTTCGGCAACATCCACATCAAGCAGGAGATCCAAATACCGCAGGTATCTTCGTTGACGTCATCACCTGATTCTTCTCCAAGTCCTATTGCCGTCGCCCTGGGTCAGGTCTCCTCGAATACCCTCTCGCAGGCCGTCTCCAATCAGCAACCCGCCCTTCAGATCGTCGGAGTGCAGGGCACACCCTCTATGATGATGGCTGACAACAAGCTGTGGGCCAACTCGACGACGACTTCCCCGCATTCTCTAAGTCCGAAGACGTTCCAATTTGATACGGTGGTACCTCCGAGCGCGAGTGTTCCTACCTCTAGCAAAATGTCGCCTTTGATAAGAGACTTTGTGGAAGCCATCGACGATCGCGAGTGGCAGAACTCCCTCTATGGACTCCTCCAGAGCCAAACATACAACCAGTGTGAAGTGGACCTTTTTGAACTTATGTGCAAAGTGCTGGACCAAAACTTATTCTCTCAAGTGGACTGGGCGCGTAATTCCATCTTCTTCAAAGATCTCAAGGTAAGGCATCATTTCCTGCATATTATTAGTACATATTATTACAACATTTGAATATTTAATATCCTTATCACAATACATTTATTCTATCAATACATTTCTCTTACAAATAACAGCTTTTCTGTCAAGATATGTGGTGTTTTGTAGTATCTCATATTCCAATATTTTTTTCATTCAAATCCGGAATCGACTTTAACATTGATTATTGTCATTGAGGAAATCTTAAATTCTTTAATAATGCCTTTTATTTCACATTTTTAATCAATAATTATGCCTTAAGATTGTTAAATCGTCATCGTTATAGAGCTTCTTCTATTTATAAAATCTAGTTGGCCCATACTGTTCATTTTTCGTTTTCATTATACAACTTTTATAAGCAGTCGAACGTGAATGTCAAATAGTTAGTAATTTTGCGTAGACAATACTGGTATTTAAATACCAAATGAAATTGTACCATGGACCCTTTATGGTATTGCAATCTAAAATTGTAATTGAGGAAAGGCAGGGCCTCTTCCCAGCCTCGTCTTCTCGGTTGCCGCCGCCGCCACCATTTGGTATGGTACATAAAATTTAGTTATTGCGCCAAAGATTCTGACCCACATAGCAATCGAACTCGAACTCGCGGCGCGCTCGTTGTGCAACCTCTCCTCGCCAATTGCTCAAACCCCCCAGCGCCAGTTCCACCGACATCCGCAAGAGCAGCAGCACCTCACAGCACTCTCGAGATCTGGGCCACTGTTACTAGGTCAAGAACAAAACGCAACCGTTACGAAACCCTTGAATTCTCCAGCGAAAATGGAAAGTGAACCGAGCGACAACGACGACTCACTCTCTCCCATCATCAGTCCAGCAGATTCACTCGCATTTTCGCTCGTCTCGTATATGCGGCTGCAGTAAATCCAATCAAATCTTAAAAGAATGAACTTAAAATATTAGAAATAAAATATTGATGTGTATGGTTCAAATATGAAGCAGATGTAAAAAACTGAAAGCACATATACACAGATAAATAGAGATATATGTAATAGTAATTCAAAGCTTGCGTTTTGTTGTCCGCGTTTGGACGTTGCAACAGCGCGCAACCAAACACGATTTACATTTCATAATAAGCCATTGCTTAAATGTCAGTTGCTTTATCCAACTAAGCATAAAGACTGAGAGAGAACCGGCGGCGGCGTGTATGTGCGCTCACAACCATATTATCACTGCCATTGTTGATCGCCCACAAAAATCTATTTTTGTCAAATAGTCAAATTGATATATACCCAAAAAAAACTAAAAAATCCATACATAGAATCAATCTTAAGTTGAGAATTTACTTCCCAGTTATTCACAACAAACCTATTTGTAAATAATTTAAATGCATGTCTGTATTCAGTCAAAATTAACATAATTTCTTTATAGCGATGACGTAGTTTTCATCTAGTTAACATCAGTATTAAAAAACTATTATAATCTATAAATAACTTATTAATACTCTCAATCTATGATTGATGATAATGAAACATTTATTTTTAACAATACAAAATATTACAATAATACATAGTTAAATACTATAAGTTCTCGTTTTTACTATATCAAATACTAAAGAAAAACTAACATCAACATTAAACTTATTCATTTTTTGACCTGTAATTACATATACACAGTTTATTCACCTGATTGTATGCTAATTTAATCATTTTTTATGATCTCTTATTTTTCTTACGACTGTTCACGTTTTTATAATTCGTTGTTTACATTTTTACGATTTTATTACTGTTAAGTTGTGACTTTGGGTTTATATAAAACTTGATCAACATCATACAATTCATTATTCCATGAAAAAAGGTTATTAAAGTTCAAAACTTTGATACATTTCTTTCAGTTCAATAATAATGTAGGTTATTATATTCAAATATTACTTCACTTTTTAAATTAATCATATTCAACTGTAAATAGTATACTTTTAAATTGTATGAAAATAAATAATATTAGCACTACAATTAAGAATTTATTGTAATTTACCACTTCTTTCAGATTCCTCTGTAAATAGTGTGTTGCAATTAAAGCGATTGATTAAATTCAATTAACCACATTTTTGTTTTGTTGAAATATAATTTTGAAATCTTGAATCGATTACATGCCGCAACGATCTCCTTCTATGATCTTTAGTCTGGCAACGCAGCATTACCATATTACCAAATGGAAAAAAAAGATGTGTAAACAATGAAAACGTTGGGAGTGTCGCGAAACTATTTGATATTTTTAATATTAAGAATGATTTAGCTCCGAGAGTGTGTAATCATACATCGGAAGGGAAATGTGTCTGTCTTGAAAATATCAAAATGTTGCTCAATACTTGGTAGTCCGATGTATATAAATAAACTATTCAGATTTATGCGCGGTGTTTTCCGACTCTGGAAAGAGGTAGAGTGAAAAAAAACGCTCAGAACAGTTAAGTCAATTAAGTAGGAGTTGCGTAAGAGACGGCCCTTTATTTATACACACTCGCAGTTAAGTAATCCGATCTGTATAACTTCTTTTTGTTCCGTTGCAATCCTATCGATTATTGCGGTAATTATGTTTTTGCCGCATTAGAGCGGTGGCGGAGGAACGAGGAAAAAGAGAGCCCAGGGCTTGGTGGAGAAGAGGAGAGAAGGAAAAACTGTGCCGCGTGCTTTTGCTTACAAACATACACAACATGGGGGGGAGGGAAAATGCAGAAGGAGAGAACAAAAACAAAAAAAAGGCAGCGAGATTGCTAATGCTAATCATTGCGTAATATTTAAAGTAATCGTACAATCGCATATACACACGAGCACACAATGCCTCCTTACTAGCACACGCCACGCCACTTACTAATGACTTTAAAATGTGTAAGTACGCGTTTTAAAAGTTGTGTATGTTGTTACTGCTGTCGGTGCATACGTAATTTCGACACAATAATTCCTCTAATTATGCTCCCGTGGAAAGAGAACAGGCCGCGCGGACGGAGGAAGGAAAACGAAGGAATGAAATACCTGAGTGTGTCCTGTCTTACAAAGTTGCCTCTCTTGCATTGATTGTGTGCTGCCGATGTTACACACAGTAGGGAACTCGAAACCAATTTAAAAACACCACAGTACGGCCGCAATTGTGGCGTTGTTCTGCTTCTCCGACAGTCTACGCACGAAACGTATTTAATTGCCATTTATTATATTACATTTCTTTGCATCTTTGTTTTGAGATACTTTCGTAATAAACAATCCGATCTCTCAATATCGATCTTCTATATGAATTTTCGTTCAGTACTCATTTTAAATATAAATCAAGTTTACATATACCAAATGACGACGCATTCGAAATGGATCCATAATCTAATGATGGGGTGAAGTTATTAAAAGAGAAATTCATTTTGTACGCAGTTCGAGTTATGTAGTAAGCCTCATTTAAACCATAACTGACTGCGACTTCCGGTTTCTCTCACCGTGAAAAATATGATTCGTTCTCGCTTTATTTAAATATTTTGTTATTCCCCTTAGTTTTTGTATCAGTTCCTGTGCATTGTTACGAAATATAATACAAAAAGAAATTGCCATCCGATGGTGTGGATTTTATTTTGAATTCGATCAGTTTTGAATATTTCAGATAAACATGAAATATAAAGTTATAAAACATCTAAAGAACTAAATCTATTTACTTAGTATATTTTTAATATTACTTGAGTGTGGTATTTGGAAGATGCAATTAAATTTATATTGGAAGATCAGTTTAACGTAAGTGATGTAACGACCCTATTACGTGGGTAACAGACTGGTTACATTTAATGGATTTTATGCCGCGCTTTTTCTCGGTATTTGCTTGCGGCTCCTCGTTGTCAATAAATGTAAAACAAAGTACACTAATGGTTGGTGGTTCTTAAGCAAATGGTCATGATGTGAGCTTTTTTTTGATAGGTGGTGTTGATATTTTGAGTTATCTGTTAGTAATTGCTACGATATTTGGAAACGAAATCATATTATTATTTTGGCCTAGATTCTAACATCCCAAGATGGGATGAAGACTTTCCTCAGCCAGAATTCTAAGAAAAAATAGCTAGGATTCCGAAGCTCCGGACATCAGTGGATCATCTTCAAGGGTGAACCAAAATTTGAAAGTCGCGCGAAAAATTTTCTTATATTTCGAATTGCATTTTTACTAGAATAATAGTTTATGTTAATGATATGTTTTCTTGAAAAGAACATAAAAGTTGCTACTTAAGAAGGTGATTATTAGGAAGGGAAAAAAGTTTAGTTATTCCGAATTGGATGTAATTGCGAAGCTATGTGGGTTTGTTGTTTTTGTGTTGCTGTTGGGGGACCTTTAACTATGGGAAACTGAAATGGGGCGACACACCTGTTGCACATACAACACATCCATCCAATGGTGGTTCGTTCGTTCGTCGGCAAAGTCCATCCGTCCAAAACTCGTTAACTCTGATTTGTATGGGAAATGAAATGCATCAGACTATGTTGATTATTATTGTGATTACGCGGCCCCGTGCTTCCCTCCTTCTCATCCATGGCGTAACACACCGTCCATCCGACTGTGTGAGTCTGTTTTTTTGTGTGTGTTCGTTCTTATAAAAAAAAAACAACATCAAGACTGCATAACACGATGATTTTCAATAAAAATACACAACTTCATCGCGACTTCCGCCGCCGACTCGCCGAATACGATACATTAAAAGCTTCCATCAAACTTAGTTCTTAAGACGAATTGAATACCAATGATAAGTTCGGTTCTTTCCGAAATTCTGTTACAGGTTGATGACCAGATGAAGTTGCTGCAACACTCCTGGTCCGATATGCTTGTTCTGGATCACATACACCAGCGGATGCACAACAATCTGCCCGATGAAACGACGCTGCACAACGGCCAGAAGTTCGATCTGCTCAACCTAGGCCTGCTGGGTGTCCCGACGCTCATCGACCATTTCAACGACATCACCGCAAAATTGCAAGAACTTAAATTCGATATCAGCGATTACATATGCATCAAATTTCTGCTTTTACTTAATCCAGGTAAAGATTAACGCACAACTTTGGGTTTGCACACAAATTGGGAAGGAGTAAATGAATGAGAAATTAAATTTGATTTTTGTTTTAGATGTGCGGGGTATCACAAATAGGAAACACGTACAGGATGGTTTCGAACAAGTACAACAGGCTTTACTTGAATACACTGTCACGTGTTACTCCAATATTCAGGTAAATAGATTTCCATTCTGTGTGTTCTATACTTACTTCAATAGTTCATTGTAATTAATTACAAATAGTCATCTAGTATTTGAATAAAATATCGTTTAATATTAACATAATAAGACGTATTTAAATAATTTCATTTACTTTAAAGTAGTTATTTGTAAATTGGATTAAAGTACGAAAAAAACTTTTTAATTATCAAATAATAATATTACAAAATACTAAAGTTACCCTAAATAAAACTACAATATTGAGTATTATCTAAATGTGTATGTTTATTTGTTTTTTAGGATAAATTCAATAAAATGTTACAAATCCTTCCGGAGCTCCACAGTTTGGCAGCAAGGGGCGAAGAGCACCTTTACCTCAAGCACTGCAACGGCAGCGCTCCCACGCAGACGCTCCTGATGGAGATGCTTCACGCCAAGCGGAAATAATAAGAGGAGGAGGATGCGGTTGATGATGCGTAGGATGATGATCTGAGCGACGAGAAGAAGCGCAGAAATCACCCGAGCACCATCACCCCATCGACATTTGTTTTTGTATAAACTCACCATCACAGAAGAAGAAGACAGGACCTCACTTTAACAAGCAAAAGAAGGAAATATAAATTCAACTCTGAAGTTACTGCAGAACAGCAAAAAACAAACAAACAAATATTTAAAAGTATATTGAGAAAAAAAAAACTAGTGGAGAGACTAAAGCGAGACAGACACAACACAAAACAACAAATAGAGTTATATGTATATGATAGAGAACCCGACCTCCCTTCGTTCACTACGAACGAAAGGGAGATGATGAGGAAAAGAATGTGTTACCATAATTATTTTATAATTTTAGATTTACTAAATGAATTCTGTGCAATATACAGGCTTGTATAACCAATACTATACACACACACGAACACACCACACACACAACACTTACAAAGTTATTTGTAAATATTTGATTTTGAGATATATATATAAAAAAAAGAATGTAATAACTAAAACGAGGACGAGACAAATACTATACAAGTGTGGAGCAGAAGAAAAACGGTTCCTCGCGAGGAAAATCTCTTTATTATATGATATATTATATATATATAAAATAGTTGTTGACATTGATGCCTTCATGAAGTACAAAGAGAAGAGAATGTTATTGTATTGATTTTTCTCGTTTCGTTTTCATTATTTTTTTTTTGGTTTGGATGCAAGTGAGTGAACGCTAGATGACTTTTCTTGGTTTTCCTGATGAAATGCATGCGGTGCGCGTTACTCGATTTATATTTTTTTATGAAAAGGCAAAGCAAACGAAACTTATTTACCATAAACCGTCTGAGGGCGTGCACCTTAAAAAAAATCCTAAGAGAGATTTGTTTTTGATTTGTTTTTATTAATTTCTTTTACTTATTAGACTCATATTTAAAAAAAAAACTTCCCCCCAAGGAACGTTTATTGTGCATCGTTTTCCCCCCGAATATATAAAGTATAAAGAATGGTAATAAGCGAGAGAAAGAGAGAAATTTTATTTATGTTACAAATATAAATATTACAAAATAAAATATATTTAATTAATATGATAATTATATTTTTATAATGGACACATTCCAGAAGTGCTCTGGAGGGATTCAAGGGCATCCTAGAAACTTAGCTTTTAAAAAAAGGAAGGAACTAAACAGATGATGATTTGCCAGGGATTTAGAATGAAAGAATGAGAGAGAGAGAGAAAGATTAGGCAGTTATGGTGAGAGAGAGAGAGAGAATGTGTGTGTAAACAGAGTAGGCTTATGATTAAAAAAAAAACGAAAGATGAGTGAAAAGTTTATGAATGATGATGAAGACACTGCACCCAACTTAACCCCCTCAGATGATGAAATTGAGTATCAATCAACAACCGGACTCTTTATTTTTTAATTACTTTTGTCTTTTTATATATATACATATATAGATTATTAATTAAATATTAATAATTATTGTTATTTTAATGTTTGTTTTGGGGGCCACCAGAAAAAATAAGATTAAAATGTTACACGAGCCCTTATACCCTAGGTTATAACTCTTGGTGATGGACTAACACAACTTTGTAATTTATCGATTAAGGAATTTATTGTTGCGAATCATAAACGTGTTTTTTTGTGTGTTTTTTTTTTGTTTCTTTCAATTATTATTGCTGTTCGTTAATCGCAGCGAGTTAAAAAATCTGTGAGAAATTGATGCATTGTTGTTTGCAAACTAGATCGTTGTACATTGTACTCTTATCCATTTGAGCACCACGTGCCCCAAGAATTTCTCACTCGAGGCGCGATTCTTTTCACTATAATGTTATGTATTTTTTTAAAATTTTATTATTGTTAACTACCTCTGGAAGATGACAAACAGAATTAAGTAACGAAAGAAAACACACCCTCAAATACACACACATATAAAGATTGCGCTGGCCATCAGTAATCAGAGAAGATACGAGTTCAACAGAGAAATCCGTACAAGCGAAAAAAAATCGAATTACTATTATTTTTTTTTAGAAAAAAAGAAACAAAAATTTAAATTTTTGTATAAAATTAAATTGTTTTGTAAATAGCGAAAAAAATAGAAATATTATTATTGACAGAAAACTTTTACTAAAGTGTTAATTAACGTGAAGATGAAGAAAAAACCCGAGCTTTATTATATATTTTTCTAATTAAGTTGTTTAAGAGATCTGCTATTCTTATATAATTATATATATATACTATATATTTAGTGTGTGCTCTAATTATTATTATTAATTATATTATATATATATTATAAATATAGTTTATTGATTGTAAAATATTTATAGAATTTTAATTTGTTAATTATTGTTGATTTATTACTTATTTTGTGATATGTTTAATAATTATATGCTTTTCTTATACTGAGAGAATCGACACACACAGAACCATGGATTACTGATGGTACGCCTCTAATCACTACCAAAACAGACCTTCCCCCCTAATTACATTCAATTCCCAAACCATCACTTGAAATCGTTAATATCTTCTTCAGTGCTTTAGCAGATAGCCCCTCCCCTCGTTATTAACTTACCACGTTTCCCTTAAGCACGAGAAGATAGGACGATAAAAAATATGCAAAAACACGTTTATTAAAAAAAAAAATGAAAATTTACTATTATTTTTTTTGTTTCATTTTTCTTTTGTATGTATATTAAGGCCCATGCTCTATACATATATATTATATATATATATTTGTATGTTATTATATATAATGAATGCATATGTATTTATATTATATATCATATAAAATATATTAACGTACATTTTTATTTAAATAAGCAGTGTGATTGAAAGGTTGTAAATATAATTTATGTGGATATAAAAAGATTTGTTTGTAGTATAAATAAATTCACGTCAACTAAAACTAAACACTATATGCTTTTTGATACTATCCTGGTCTTTTCAAAACACTATATTTTTATAATCTTTAAACATTGATTCCAGATTAATTTGTTTGATTGAGGTAAGTAATATGCGTTTCTGTACTATTTTTTTGATCAAACAAAATAATTTTTTTGCAGAGATTTTTTCTTAAAATAGAGATTTGTTGGACTTTTATATATTATTTTATTTGTAAAAATAGTCTCATAAATTTGGGGTGCGAAAAATCAGTGAAGTACGGTAAATCTTTCTACATTCTTATATAAAATTCAATTTTGATTAATTTTAGTAATTGCATTCATGCTTAAACCTGAATGTTGACCTTCAGCTTAAATGTGAAAAGTGTTACCCTTTCACCTGTTATCTTGTTTTCTCCCCTAGTGCGAGTTAAATATTACCACTAATGTTTCTTTTATAACACCCCTTTTTTCAAACTCTAGAACCAGATACTTTTGTTAGCTCCCCTTTGCTGGAAATCTTTTTTTTACTACGTTGTTCAGCTTTTTATCATGTCAATCATTGCTGACTTATGTGAACTTTATGCATTAATTCAGAAAAACTTGTGCGTAAGTTTTCAATATACATTGGCGTTTATGTCATAGGAATATTACAGATAATAATTGCATCGCAGTTTTATTTCTTTCCACTGTTAAGTATAAATTATTTTATGCTACTATTTTGTATGTTTATAAAATTTGTAATAACTATATGAACAGACAACTTCACTATTTTTTTTGAAAATTTTCTACTTGAAGAAATACGAAAGGTAAATATAACACGTTGACTGCCAACTACGAGATATCTCGTATGTTGTTTACTTGCCCAGGACGTCTACTACGAGTTATCTCGCCATATTTGTACAGCTACTAAAAAACTCGTAGCATAACAGTGTAAATATGAATAGATAGCCTAAGGAAAGAGAATACAAAATCAGGTTTGCCGTAAAAGAACAAAAAATACAATTATAATGTTTATTCAAAAAGAAAAAGTTTATACAAGGAAATACTATTAATAAAGTTTTTAATAATATAATATGATTAAATGAAATTGCCTCCTTAGGCAGGAATCGTGAAAAATTCCGTGACGAAATCGTTAGATATCAATGAAATTTCGTACTCCATTTACACAAAAAATAGTTGATCACCTAACATAGTGATTCCTAAAGTGGTCTATATCGACCCCAGGGGTCTTTGACAACCTGCAAGGGGTCTACGTCAGCGAAAAAAAAAATTTGGGGGTCCATGAAATGAAAATGGGGGTCCACGATAGTGGATCTCAACATACACTGATAGTACCTATTTACTTACATTATAGTATCTTATAATATCAAGACATATACATTGTTTATAAAAGTACCTATGAAGTAAACATTTATTATATATGTTTATAAAATTGTGTAAGTTGTAGGATGTAGGCATTCGCTTTGTGGTCGCAATACATTTTGAACTTGTAAAAACCTGCACATAATGATATACCAGTATCATCTTGTTACAAAATTGACGCCAAATGTTGATAATTTATTATTAAAGGATCAGGTTCATCCTTCTCACTAAAAACATTTACTTATTGCTTAGTATATTTTATGTTACGTATATTTTATATAACTACAAAATTTTATTTTGAGTAGTTTTAATTTAAATTCAATTAATAAATGTATAAAACTTAACATGTGTTTTTACTTTAAGTTTTTAACACTAAACTTCACTACAGTTAGAAATTTACAAAAAATCAATATCAGGTAAGTAGGGGGTCTATTCAAAACCGAAAAACATGGCAAAGGGTCTACGACACAAAAAAAGTTTGGGAACCTCTGACTAACATATTTAACAAATGAAGAACGAACATACTGCAGTTACAGACATGATTATGAAAATCTTTAAAGCTCACCGCGCGAATAACGAATGGCATTGTGCTACTGTTATCAAGAAATTAAAAGCCAGTAAGTATGAGATTCCAGTCTACCTTCGTATATGTTAGTAAACATTGTTTTTGCATCTTCAACCAAAGTAATGGAACGCTGACTGATAACTTTTGTTTGCTGGTGGAAAAGAAGAAGGAAATGAATAAAATATATATCGTAGAATACAAATATGTAAACATAAACATCCGCTAAATATCTCTTTACAAATAAACTTTTCGAAATTAGTAACTTAACCTTTCATAGAACGCGCTGCTTACAACTAATAAAATAACACAAAATACAAATTCTCAAGTATTATTCGCCAAAAGCGACCAGTTCTCCATTAAGTAGAAATTTTGCAACATCGAAAACGTCTGGTAGTAATAAATAATTAATACGACTTTTTTTGTGCACGTAGAAAATCAGAAAATATTGTCGAAAACAAGAATCTGTTTAAGCAATAGATCAGTGATTCCCAAAGTGGTCTATATCGACCCTCAGGGGTCTATGACAAAAATTTGGGGGTCCACGATAGTGGATGTCAACATACACTGATAGTACCTATTTACTTGCCAATTGCAATTGTTTAATTGAAGATATGCTTAAAAGAAGATTTTCGTCTTTCCCGTTTAATAAAAAAAAGATATTTACAAGAACACGAAGCGCTCACTAATATTAAGTATTAGGTCTTAAACAAAAACATTTAAAATACATTTAAATAGAGAAATTTAAGAATAAATTGGTTATGATTGCACATTTATCAAATCTATTCTGTTTTCTCACGAACAAAATATCTGGAATAAATTCAGCTATTCTCATCTAAACAACATCAGTAAAGCATGCAAGAGACACAAATGCTCTCCTAAAAAAAATGATAAGGGAGCTCGTAAAGATTTTTTTAGTGCGCAATTTAAAGAAAATATTGCAATACATAAATATTTTTTATACAGCATCTCCTGGTTGAAAAGTCACTGTCTGCCACTGATCCATACTGGTTTCATTATTACCTTGTATATTAGTAATTTATTTTTCACTGG